TTTGAATATTGGTCTCCCGGTCTGAAGTGAGAGGAGATGAGAGGCTTTTTCTCTATGAGAGGATGTCACATATCAATCCTTGTTGAGACCAGTGTTTAGAATGAACTCTGAGTTAGTGGCAAAAACTAAACTCAAACCTACTATCTGGCACATAAATATATTTACAGTATGTAACATATCATAATTTTTATAAAATCCAAGAGTCATTGCCAAGGCATTAAATAACTGGAAAATGATGTAAACAGTTTTCAACAATTTCTTCATATACTGTACTTATATCCTATTGAGTTTATGCTACGAGTCGTACATTTTAGTACTTTTTTGATAGCTGTCATTCAAATGCAGAGAAACGGCGAGTACTTTTAGGAAATTATGACTGGACGACATGGACAACGTGTCATTTGGCCTTGAGGTATTACGGCAGGTCTGCTGTAAATTGTTGTCTTTCAATTCACCAAACTGTTAGAAATCTATAGAGCACTTTCACAGGGAGGAAAAAGGTTTGCTCTAATGGCTTGTGACTAATATCATTCACGCTCTCATAATTCATTGTGTTTATTCCAGCCTGTCAAATGGTGCTGCACATGTATTTCGAAATGCACTATTTACTGTGTTGATGTAAGGCAAAGATCCATCTGATCAGATTGATTAATGTCAAATATATAGAGTGGTTGTTCGTGGAAGTGGAAGTGAAACAGCATTTTCCACTTTTCTCACTGCAACAATTTACATGACGACCCTTGCCATGTATGTACTATGTAAGTCTGTCAACAAGTCATTTCATGTAGCTTTACTCCCAAACATCTACAATAACTTCATAAAAATGTATTTGTGAATGGTTGGCAACACATCAGGACGTCAGTCCTTTCTCAAGCAATCAAACTCTCCCTCTGCCATGAATGAATCCAATCTGCATTCATTCTCCAGCGCGTACATTGATGCATACACCCGTCATGGTGTAAGTACTTCATGTTTACGTCATTTGTGAAGGCGCGCAGCATCTAATGTAGAGAAGCTTCCTGCACCAGAGGGACGACGCTCATTCTTACAACCTGCACATGCTGTTTTCTTGACGTATATATGGCAAAGCATTTGGGCAATGCTGTAAAAAAAAAAGAAACCTGGAGAAAACAGGAATGAATAAGAGAGGAAAAAAGCGACAGTGACTGAGTGGAAGAGAAACTGAGAATAAGTGTGACTCACATGAAGAGAAACTGAGAGGCAGCAAGCTAGAGCCTGACAAAAGGAATTGTTAATGTGACTCCTTTTGGCGCTTCACAACACTCTGTTGCTGTGCTGGATGCAGCCCAGAACATGAGCAGAACGCTGTGTGGTTTTCCTCCAGCAGAACTCCTGCCCTCACATCTGCAGAATCAGGGTAAAGGAGCAAAATAAAGAAAAAGAAACTTGCACCAAAAAATGCACAAACAGACCAGTTATCAGACAGATCACATGTATTCAGCTTGTGGACTTCTGCAGTTCAAATCAAAGCCAAATCAGAGCATTGCTTTTTGTAATGAAACAGTAATTGCGCATTGTGACCGTGAGGTGTTGGGGGGAGAATTGATCTCATGCACACTGTGAGCGTGAACGCTGTAGCCTCTCACAAAAGGATCGGTTTTATTTTCAACATTGTTTAATCTGCTCGCCCGGCGCGTGGAGGAGCTTCGGTGATTTCATCGACAAACGAGCCAGCAGCGAGACGCAAACACGAGCGCACAACTGGCTGCTCTAATCAGAATCTTAATTAGTCTGCGAGCAGCGTCCCATTAACATGTATTCCTCCTAATTAACGAGGGCCACACACATACGGAGCGACAGAGGCTGAGCCAGAGAAGCGAAAGATGTTCTTCAACTTTGATAAATATGAGAAAATAAATGAACAAAGCAGAATAAATACGCTAGAGTTGAATCTAACAACCTCGTTTTTTCTTGCTGAAAAAAAAAAAAAAAGTAGAGATATTAAGTGGAATATTTCTGGCCTTGTCAAGTGACAAAGACTGGAAGGTCCCAAGATCAAAATGCAAACAGGCAGATCTGACTAAATGAGGCTGGCAGGAAAACACACCCAAACCCTTTAGCTGCTCCAAGTTAAACTAGACTAAACCACAACACACACACACACACACACACACACACAACACACACACACCGGTCCCGGCAGAGGCCCCGGGGGCCGTCACACCCGTCATATATTCATAATACATTCAGCTCGGGGATTGGCTGAGAGCGCGACCGGGACCTCCACACCTCCACAGACTAATTTGCCACATTACAGCCGTAATTATTTCTCCATGAAGTTATCAGCTTCCTGTGCTCTCAAGTATTGCGCAGCACATGTAATGACTGAAAAGAAAAACAGTTTGTGGCTATTAGCAAAGCTTTTAAGATTCTGTTTCCTTCACACTAAAGCTGGGAATGTATTTATCATGGACACAGTTCATGATGTAGTGTGAACAAACGCATTGCCCTGAATATTACTTATGTTATTAAGTTAGGACTGAATCCGTGGCTTCTTCTATTGCTTTGAACCCAATTCCTAACAAGGCCGTGCTTTTATTTTTAACAAGTATCTCTCATAGGTGAGTCACCCGCCACAATGAAGCTGGTGTGATGTAACGGCTGAACAAACACGGCTTTCTTTTGTTCGTGTAATCTGCAGCGCCGTATGATTTAGAAAAATGACGCCGTGGGTTGGTCACAGACAAGCACACACACACACACAAACACACACACAAGGGCTGTTGGTGATGACCAAAAATGGTGTTGTGGGTGGAAGATGAAAAGGAGCCTTTTGCATTGGATTGTCTTTGTTGTAATGCCAGGCTTGCCTACAGTTGCGTGTCATGACTCATGTCCCATCCAGAGCTGCGAGAGCTCTATTTCTACGTCGCGGCTCGCTTTCCTCTGCGAAATGAAAAAAAAAAAGGCAATGAAACCTTTGAAAAAGATCTTTGCCGCTACGGGATGCAGATTATTTAGACAACGGCGACTTTCGCTTGCCTACGTTCGCATTTTCAACAGGCACATGAACTGGAAACCGGACAAAATGTGTCAACAAAAAAAACCTTTCACACCAACTTTGAGCTGTTTTGGTGCAGTTTTTCGTTTCATGGCTTTTCATTCCATCGCTTCTGAAGCAAAATTCAGTGAGATATTTTGACGGCTTTAGTCATGTGGCTCTGCTTCATGTCAGCAGTCTGTAGTGACAGCTGACTTACAGAAACCACATTCTCTCATTAAAACCTTTTCTGTCATGATTTGAAGCACCAACAAGACCACCATCCCAGCGCAGATCACACAGGCCACTTTTGCACTTCATGGGGATTCAGCACTCATTTGTCGTACTGGGAATCTTTGATCTTAGCACGGCCTTAGCATGAACGCCGTCAACAACTTTTTTCTAGTCGACGCTTTTTCAATATAACGTTTAATTAATAACTGATGAGAGTCACTCATTTGTATCGCTAGAGAGTCGAGCTACCATAAGAGTGTATTTGTAGGCAACAGCATGCATTTGACACACATATATGGGCTATAAAAATGAAGGCTGGTGTGGCGTCATTGAAGCTGGTCATGGGATTTTATATCAGAAGCAAAATAATAGAAAAATATCGAGATCATAAAATGTTTAAAGAGAAGCTCATTAAAGATTCTCACGGCGAAAAAAACCTACTGACCTTCCCGAATTTCCGTCCCTTGATGGCAGTTTATGAATGTAAGAAAATGACCTATAGTGTTATATTCTTAGCGATTTAATGAACCAGGCTGCGAGGTCATTTTCACGTGTTAAAACCTGCATCAAATTCTGACAAGAGTCCTTGTTCGCAGCACGAATCCTGTTTTGTTGAAAGCTAAACTACTTTTTTGACCCTTGACAGAACAATTCTGCAAAAGAACTCTGACTCTCAGCAGTCTGGATGCTTTAAATATACTGAAATATACAATGAAAAATGTATATACCACACATTGTATGAAAGTCAAATGTATTGATGAGCCCGGTAATAATAGAACTATTAAAAGAAAGTATTGATGTAATAAAGATCAAACTCCTGGAGGATGACGTTTCCTGATCCAAAAGTAAAAAAAAAAGCTTCTGCACTTTGATAAATGTGCATCAGAGAGTTAAACGGCCTCTTTTTCACTTCTACCCATGAATGATTGACAGCAGAACTGCACGTAAGTATTTGACTGTTCTCATGAAGGATTTGCTGATATCTCCTCATCCCGGGTCTCTCAGCATCACGTTATTCTGCTTTCTTCAGATAATTCCCTCAACGTCTGAATGCATGATATCGATCTATGTGACGTGAGGCCTTACAATTCAAATGAATGAACAGTGGTTTGGATTATTTGCCAACTCACTGCCAGCGAGTGTCGAGGTGACCTCAAAGCTACTGAGCTTTGAAACTGTCACGGTGTGGTTCACTTCCTGTTGTATTTTGTAGTTTTCTTACACTCGTGTCCCCGGGTAGCTTTACTTCCTGCCTTGTCCCGTAATCCCCTGTGATCGTCTAATAGTTTCCACCTGTGTCCAATCACCTGCACCTCCCTTGTGTATTTAAGCCGTGTGTCTCTTGTGTCACTTGTCGCGTCATTGTCTATCGTCGTGGATGTTCTTAGTTTCCTGCCTGCTGGTTTCCCCCTGGTTCCTGTGTGTTTTTGCCCCTTGGCCCTTTGATTTTGCCTTTTTTTTACAATTAAAGTCTTTTGTTTCCGGAGAAGTCTGCGTTTGAGTCCTGCCTCCTCCATGCATCCCCTGACAGAAACAAAGTTATTTGCAACTTTAGCTGTAATGTGATTCAGAACTAGTTGCTCAAATTCATAACAAGCGCCGGCTAAGATTCCAAATACATCCCAATTAGAATCGCGTTGTTTGAAGTCGCTCAACCATGAGCAATCAGTTCGATCACCTGGATTATTATATAACCTTGAACATTTTGATGAAATGCTCAATTGTCTCTTCAAGCAAGTGCAAAAAAAAAAAAGCCACTGGCGGATTTAGAACTGTATACAATATTTATTGACAAGGTACTCATCTCCATAGGTTTTTCATAGTTAAGACAGACACGGACTCGTACGGGGGCTTAGCTTTGAGAAGGGTGCGCCTCCGGGCTGCAGGGGATGTTCTTGTGAGTGGCACATACGAGGAGGGGTGGGGGGGGGGTTCAAGGTGGAGGGTGTCGCGAGAGGGTAGAAGGATTAAATTGCTCCTTGGAGTGAAGTCCAGGGTAGCAGGAGGCTAAGGCTTCTTCTGTGAGTGTGTGCAAACATACACCGTCACCGAGATGTGTGTCGTTTCAGAACGTCACTCTGTCCGAGATCTCCACAAAAGACTCTGTTGTGTGATGAACCTTGCGTTTCCAAAAAAACCTTAACTTTCCAGGAATATAGACACAAAAGCCATTTTCAAACCAGGTAAACCCGTGTCTTTTTTTTCTCAACTCTATACAAGGGATGTTGACAGGAGTTTTTTTTTACGTTTTAAGTTTCCAGAATCACTGGAGTAGAATGTAATCATTCTGTATAGTATAAATGTGAAAATTGCCAAAATTGGATTTACAAGTTTCCGCCCCAAAAACAGTGTTTGCAGTTGTTGTTTTTTACACAGGAGTATAGAAGTATAAAAATATATGAAACAAAAAAAGCGCCGTGAAGTACAAACACATATTTAAAGTGTAGAACTCATGAAGCAGACCTTTCTTGCAAGGTGCTACTGTGCTTTGGAAACACACTTCCCTCTGGTGAACACACATCCACCTCTCACTCTCACACTCACATAAAGCATCCATCAGTATCATTCGGAAATTTTAAGAAATTTGTGTTGGATACATTGAGGCGGATTTGGATTCAGCGCCTGAATGTATTTTTAAATCAATTTGGTGTTTATTTTCTGCCAATGCTAAAATTATGCTGCTCTGTTTGTAGTCTAACTGTGTGCCGTGCGTGACCTCGTGTTAAACAGAGGACAAAGCAAACTATTTAAAGTACTTTAATTCTTGGGTCTGAAATTCAGATTGTGGTTGTATTGTTGTTACAACCAGTGAATTGTGCTGACCTGAGATGGTTGACTTTCAGGTTGATACAAAGGCATCGCCAGCCTCTTTATCACCGGACCAGTTTATGTGTGTGTGTGTGTGAGTGTTTGTAGCTGATCATTGGTACAAATAATTGTAATACTTTTGCTGACAGATTGCAGCAAAAACATGCTGCAAACGAATATCAACTACATTCATGAATACAGAATATATGTTACATTTTGGCAAAACAAATAGAGCGAAAAGAAAACCAGAGGTGATCAAGTGACACTGCAAAATAGACTATTTACATGGTTGAACATCAGCCTTTGCATTCTCTCAACATTACTGTATAAATCATATTCAAAATGTCCTCTTTGTATGTTCCAAAAAAAACGATATTTACACAATTCAAATGAACCAATTGATGATTAATACTATGTTATGAGATATATATATACATACTACATGTGTTTGATTCTGAATCTGAATTCATTCCAACTCATCCTCATCTATAGAAAAATGCACAACGTGCTTATAATCTGTATAAGTAGATCTGGATCCCTTTTGTGTGTTCTTGTTTGAATGAATCCTGAAAAATAAACAAGTAAAAGAAAGAAAGATGAGAAGAATTTGATCAACCAAAATTACCAGAACGATCAAAAAAAACTATTTACTTTTTCAATACCTGGATCACCACAATGTGAAAATGGTTCATTTTAATGAGTAACATGTAAACACCGCTGAGGTTATTGTAATTGAAAACGGGACACAATGTTCAATCAAAGCTTACATTTCAGTTATCTGGCAGTGCTTGTGAAAAAAAGGTTATTTTTAAAACAGTTGGAACTCTTATGTAAATGCTTTTTTAGAAAAATGTAAATATTCTTGATAGCATTGTTAATATTTGAAATACCAATCAGACACAGTTAATAAATTGCAATCACAGACTCATGTTTGCTCAATTGTAAATGGAATTAGTGAATTCATTAAATGAAATAATTCAGTGAAAAAGGAGAAAAGTGAGCAAAGAACGGAGAATGAAGGCGTTACTACTGTACAGAGCATGCATTAAATGAAACATGATAACATTAAGTGTTTACACACACGCACTTCCACAACCATAATGATGGCATTCCAGGAGAAATGGACCTTTTAGATTGTGTCTTTGTCAGGTGAACTCAAAACAATCCCGAGAATAAAGAATCCAGTCCTTAATTTGAAGGATGTTTGGAGTCACCTTCTTTTGCAGAGGGTCTGGCTTCTGATTTGGTGGTATGTGAATACTGGAATAACACCATGAAGCCAGAGTTTATTCACATAGATTGTGTGGAAAATCTACAGGGAGATGGATAAGAAACTTATTCTTCTGTGTTGCTACTTATATTTCCACATTTTAACCTTGCTGTAACTGAAACATACTGTGTGACTGTAATCGTATTGATAAAGTTCCTCTTTGTGATGCAGTTGCCTTAAGCACCAGGTGTTAGAAGAACAATACAGCCTCTATGGCTTTTAAAATGTATGTGCAAAATATTTTATAAAAATCTACGTTTTGTCCAAAGAACAGCATCATTAGTAAATAATCTGCAATCGTCAATTAAATGTTGGTTTGGGATTTACGGCTATTTCCTATCATGAGAATCGCTGTATTTTTAATCTGAAAATGATGCACAATTGAGAGGACTTTTCATACAAAAGCCATAGATAACTTATAGGCAACCAACAGATAAGAAATGTTATTGAATAATGGTGTCAAAGGCTGATATTTGAAGTCTGTTTGTGCTTTTCTATCCATTGTAGACTTTATATAAAGTGCCTTTTTGGCAGTTCACACTTTTTTTTCTATCAATTTTGTAAATACAGGAAGTGAGTATAGAAGGCTGAAAGGGGAATTTTGTCTGTCAAAGTATCCTTATAATAATAAGAATCCCTATATACATTTTTTTCCCTTAGTGCAATCAGAGTTAAAACCTGGAATTTTTGGAATGCTCTTTGCTAATATTACATAATGTTTCTGTATTAAAATGGTTTATTAACTGAGAAGATGCTTAGAAATAAATCCTTTAGCGCTCCCATTATAATATATAAGTAGAAAAAGATTGATAAGTTACTCTGATAGTACATCATGTTGTACACATACTAACCTCATGTTAGTATGAAATTAATGTGAGTAACTACACATTTTGTGTGTTTGACATAATTCATCCCCAAAACACTATTAAACACTATTAAGTTGTGTCATAATATTCCACAATAATTTTGTGTCAACTGTCAATTGGTTTCTAACTGATATGATATTTTTGGCAAATAATTTAATTTATGTGTGCTGTGGATCTAACATAATAAAAAAATACAAAAGTATCCAGAAAGATACAAATAAAATGGCAGGATTCACAATGCACACAGTATGTACAAATTGAGACAATTACTCAGGAACAGGCACCTTATATGTTTGTAATCTCTCTTTTATAAGGTTTTTACGTGTTATATGATAGTTCCAGTTCTGAATAAAGTAATTCAGTCCAGTTTTACAAGATCACATAAAAATGAAACAACCCGAATACAAACAACAAATGAGCAACATGTTTTGCTATTTGTTCTCGCACTCACTGTCCTTTGCGTCTTTTAATTGACGTAGTAAAGCCAATAAATGATGTTGAATAAGGAGAAGACCGTCGGGAAGATGATCCTCGACCATTTGTCAATAGAGTTTACATCAGTCAAGTCTGGGATGTTGATCTTTAGCTGGGACGCGCGCCTCCGTAGCCGGCTCTTCTTTTGAGTCATGTGACACTCCAGCGTGTTTCGCCCAAAGTTGTGCCTGGCGAGCCCGGCTTTGCGGTACTGCAGGGTCGAGCTGTCGTAGGTCAGCATGGTGTTGCGCGGGTCGTTGAGGCCCAGCGCCAGCTCGGAGATGCCCATGTCGTTCTTGATGTCCAGGGTGCCCAAAAGGATGTTTTCATGTGGGTCCATCTACCCGAGAAAAACATGCAAACGTGTGTCGTGCATCATCATCATGCAACAAGAGGGTTTAACACAGGGACGACATATTTCATTTAACTAGGTGGAAAATGCTGGGGAGCACTCAGACAATTATGATCATCAATTGAGCATTTCAGCATCTTTGATCATTGTCACCACCAAAAAGCGGAGAAAAAGAAATGTGCTAAAGGTCAATAATTATCCAACAACATAGATAATATTAATAATATAATAATAAGCCATTGAAGTATTTTTTCTAGTTTTATTCCAAATAACTGTAATACAGTCTGAAATCAAATGGGTGGTCGCAGTGTTACATTGTTTGACTTAAAGTTTAAAGTTTGGTATTACCTTGTTCTTTTGTTCGCCAAGTCCAATCGCTCCATCATCCACAAAGATCGGTTCCCAAATGGAGTCATGACCATCAAGATCCCTTTGTTTCATTCTTGCATACAGAGTATCATCTCGGCCAACTACGTTCCCTACCAGCCACTGCAAGCAAACATAGTCACCATGGTTACTAAAATATGTGTGAAGATGAGGAATAGAAGGAGGTAAAGAACATAAAAATGTTATCACAAGTCCAGTTTGACTGCTTCTCTTCTTCTTCACGTGACACTTTCAAATGTCAATTCCAATTTTCTCCTTCTGCTCAGTAAAGACAGTGTTTGTTATCAAACTAATTTAAGTACGTCCAGTAAGTAATTGGTTCACTTCACCTGGGAGCACCAACCGAGCGAAGTGAACACATCTCGCTCTACCAAGACAAGGAGCCAAGTGGCTTTGAGACCTTCTTTTCCTCCGTTGCAGCTGGCAACATCTCTTATTTAGAATTCAAACCGGGCTAGCACGCTTATTAAGCCGCCTTCCTTGGCGCACTAAAGGCAGGAAACAGTAGGTCAACCCTTTTGATTTGAAGTGTTGACATTTTCTTTTTTCTTGTAATTTTTCTAAGTTCCTTAGACAGCTGGATAAATAATTTGTTTCAAATTTCACTGCAAAGTAAAAGAAAAATTGTGATTTTTGGGGAATCTAAAGCAAAGAAAACAGGAGCTCATCCTCTTTGGCTCTACTGAAAATAGAACATACATTTTTTAAACTAAAAAGCGTTGTTACCTTGTTGGGATCCATCCTCATCTTTTCATTGTTAGCTGTGGTTAGTTTCTCGGCCGCCCTTTTCTGACGCTGTGGGCCGCGTCCAAAGAATATGTAGTTGACCAACGCGTACTCCAGCAGCGCCAGGAAGACGAAGACGAAGCAGCCCATGAGGTACATATCGATGGCCTTGACGTAGGGGATTTTGGGGAGGGTTTCTCTCAGGTGGGTGTTAATGGTCGTCATGGTCAGCACCGTGGTAATACCTGGGGGGAAATTCCTTTACATTATAATAGAACAAGTAGGAGGCAATAACGTTGCATTTTTATTTAATTAATTTCCATTTTAACGTTATAATTTATGCACCACCATCATTTATAAACGCGTTCTGTTCCGAATGAATGCGTGACAGTTTCATGTGTTTTAATGCTCGCGACTGCCAGACGTCTATCTGATCTACTTGATCACATGTCTGTGCTTGATCAAGCCTCCCAGGATCAATGAACGCGAGGGATTTACCCCCCATGACATCAAACCACGAGACGAGAAAAGAGACGCGCACCTGAAGCGGCGCGTAGCTATTTGAAATTCAAACGTCAACTTTGGTCTCATTCATTAGCAGAGAACTCCTACTGAGGAAATAAATGTGTAGACAGTTTTCCCATCGTTGGCCAGCAAGCTGTGGATGATGGTTACTGTCGGATTTACTATGCACATCGTTGAGTTGAGCTTCTGTTTATTACGACTCACGTGCTCACTCTTGCTGGAAGTGATTGCATTACATATTGTTGTTTTAGGAAAGGAGCGGCCGTTGGACGTGGTGTATTTACAATTGGTGTCGGTAGTGTTTTAGATATGTGGGAGTTGTGAAAGCTAAATAATTGTGTTCATAGCTCCTGAAGCCCTCACAAATTGTCCCAGGCGCGCCTGTCTATTCTACCGTGAAAGCACACACAAGAGTGGTTTTTAAAAGGCTATTTCTATTGGGACTCTCAGTAAACAATTACTAAAATATTTTACAGCTGTCTCAAAGTTGTGAGGCATCCAGCGCTCGATAGGATTCGGGGGCAATTTCGCCAAGCTGTTGCTCCAAGGGCTTAACAATAACAGCAGAGGACTGCGGCAGCACAGTGGCCATGTGATTCAGCCATCACTGGTCCATTTTATTCCCAGAAACCAGGTCAGAATTAAGTGGTTTCTGAATCTGGTGTGGACTACCGAGTGATCCAACATTCCCCAACTCTGCTGACCTGCCTCCATTATGGAGTATTAGCTTTTTTTCTTTTTTTTTCATTAAATCCCATGCATGCCTTACCCCCGGATCACTAAATGCAGCTCAGTCGTCAATCAGCCAAATTGCCTTGTCGACTGCAGCGAGGGACGGGCTTGAAGGATGGAGGGAGTTAGGTGAAAAGAAGACAGGGAGCTTCCAATAGTTACTGAGGACGCTGGAAGTTCAATGCGAAACCCGTAGGCCACACAGAGTGTGCATGTTTTAGAAGGTCAAAGGGATATTGTGACAACCAGAAAAAGCTCAGAGGCCCTTGAAACAAATGAAAAAACGATTGCTCCCCCCCCCCCCCCCCCCATATAACAGCAACATTGCGTTGTACTTTGTACTTGGGGGGGATGATTGACCCAATTAACATCCATAGTGATTATTTCAAGAGATGCACATGAAAATGACTTCCCCTGCTAATCTTGTTGTATTTTGCAAAAAGCTAAAAATATGCTTTTTCCCTCGACTACAAACAAACTAAAGAAACCACAGCGTGCTTGTGGATTAGTGCCGTGCTATATTTAACGTATAATGACTATGTCAAAAATTAATGAAGGCAAAAAAGCACAGTAACTAATAAATGATTGAATTGAAGGAAATAGGCCAAATCCTCTTCTACAAAACCTAAGCTTTATCCTTTGTCAGTATATTTAAAGTTTAGGTCTGCTACCGATGTTCTTGCATGACTTGATGAAAAATGTTCCAGATATGTTTTGCTCAAATCGTCCCTGTCAGGTTACTTGTCTCCATTTGCCCTGTCGGTGAAGTATGTACATTTGACGAGTTAAAATTGGCAAAATTGGCAAAATTGAGAGGGGAAAAAATAATATCTATATTGAGCATCCTCTGGTCAATGTTTTTAAAGAGTCAATGTCCTGTCATTCTGTCTGCATTTATCTTCCACGCCTCACCCAGAGCCACCCTGGCAGCAGAGGCGTCGTAGTTGATCCAGAAGGAGACCCAGGAGAGGATCGTGATGAGTATGGAAGGCATGTATGTCTGCAGGATGAAGTACCCGATGTTTCGCTTCAGTTTAAAACTAAGGGACAGACGAGGGTAAGAACCTGCAGAGAAGAGACGGGAGACAAAAGACACAGGAATTTATTCAAATGTGCCCTATGGTAAAGGTACAGTGTGGTTAAACGTAGCTACTAAATCGTTTAGTTGGTGGGACATGAAGTAAGGATGCCAGTTTTCTATTTCTTCAAATGGTTACAAATGGTGAACAAAAAAGGTAACCGACATTCAAAAGTGACACTTGTCCAAATAACCAAATGGTAAGGCACTCAAATCCAGTGGAGGGAGCAATATCTCTTGTTTCATGATAACCAAAGATAACTGATTCCTTATTAACTACGATAGGAGGGTTTCCTAAAATGTGCTTTGTTCAAGCGTTTCAACAAATGTGTTTTTCAGTTTTGCTTATCTTGCTCTATTTGATAAAAGCTCACTGTTGTATTTTGGGCTTGGGAGAAATTGTATCACCACACATATTTTTCTCCTTGGCGGTATTTTGTTTTGATTTGCAGCTGAATGGAGTAGGCAACAAAAGAAGAACACGTTTCAATGCTCAGTTTATTCAAGCGTCATGCAGATCCAGAGGACGGGTGAAGGAGAAACACGAATGAAAGCCCCAACAACCCACCAGCCCCTTAGAGCTGCTTTTTCATTTAGCTAATGTTAGCATGAGCCACTGAGAGAATCCTTGAATTATTTATTCATGAAGCGAGGAAACGGGTCGGGTAAAAATGACAGTAAGTATTCATAATTCATAATGCTAAGATGACATTGCCTGTCCGTAGACTGAAACATGTCACTTGTATTTGGTAAACGCCCCGGCACTTGTGCTGATGTGCGCATCTCTGAGAGCCCCCCCCAGGTCACTCAGTCCACATCGCAATAGACAGCAAATGAAAAGGGAATCCCCCCGCTAACCATGTCTCTGAATAGGACAACGCAAGCAGACACATGCAGGGACACATTAGGTAGATAGCAAACACATACACTCATGCATACGCAAACGTTGTGCACATATCAGAAGGCATTACGTTACTAATAGGGTGGTGTGAATTGTCTGACCCCTGCTGTCAAAACTAGCCTTCTCGTTACCGGCGTCGCTCGGCTCTTGTTGCATTAGTGTTCAGCTCTTTTTCTCTTCAGTATCCATGAGGTGAATTCAGCTGAAACGAAGTGCTGCTTTCTGATTGCTTGCTTGCGCGACAAATGTGTAAACATGAAAGTGAATGAATATTTCATTGAATCAGACCGTATTCTTTTTTTTTATAGTCAAATAGTCATAAGTATTTTTTAAGTCAAGTTCCAGGAGGTTACTTCATTTGAAAGTGTGCATGTCTGTCCATATGTGTACATATAATGCAGAGTTTCTGGAAGTGAGTGCGTGCTAGTTCTCACTCAATGCAAATTGTGAAATGAGTCGACTCTCATAATGACCCTTCTTGCAGTATTATCACGATAAGGAAGTTTGATTAACCTCACAGAGAGAAAACAACAAAATGACTTATTTAATGGAAATCAAAGCAAAGAAGTAAGAGTGTGTGCATGTGTGCAAAACAATAACATGATATATGCTTCAGGGTGATTTTTGCTTCAGGGATAATACTGCTGGAAAGCATTATGTTGCACTCCATACCATCAACAAATCATTCACGCCTTTCAACCTGCTTGTTACCTGTGGAGAAGACGACATTCTTGGAGATGAGATTGTGATCCACGATGGAAAACTGAGGCAGTTCGATCTTGTCCACCCCTGTCACAGCATTGTTTCCCCCCCGCCAGTAGAACTCAATGTCGTCTGTAGTGTAGCCATCTGAGACACAGGAACAGGGCACAGCAATTATTGAGGACTGTTGGAGATCTGTGCAGCGTACATCCGTTCATAGTCATGTCCCATCTGCATCCGGTACAATCGTCGACTAGTCACATTACATGGTTTCATTATGTAAGTAATGCAATTATTGTTATCAGCATCATTATCTATGATAATGTGAGCTAATTTAGAGGGAGACAGATTCCAGGGTGCATGTATTTGTCCTATTCGTAACAGTAAAATAATACATAAAATAAACTCCACGCACTAATTAATATCCCTAGTGGCCACTTCTAGACTTCGCCATCCCCGGGCCGTCCCAGTTAGATTCAAAGAACCACCGCTTTTAAGTGCCTCTTAACAGCAACGTCTGAAGTCACATGCTTATCCCTATTCTTCACAATACCGCAATCCTGGATTGTTACGGCATACAACATAGCTGAGGAAAATCCTTACATGTATATGACTCAACTTTACAATGTTTTGTCCAATGGGCAACTAAATTATTAAATACCCATAGCAAGAATGATGAATAAACAGGCCTAGAAACCATTTTCATTTCTGAAACCCGGAGAAATCGATAGAGAGGCAAGTAGCAAGTCCATTAATATTAATCCGATACCACGGCTTCTCGCTCTTTTGCTCTCATTTTGGCCCAATCAGTGGGGACGTGGACAGCAGGGCGACTCGTGGGCCGCAGCAAAGAATGATTGAGTAACATGTAGTTAGAGTTGAAGACAAGTGCCGATGTAAAAAGTAGAAAATGTTTATTAGACCATGAAACTTGACTCTTGCATAATCCACTGCCTACTGTCTGCTTTAGTGCAGCTGACATGTCTGCTGACTCGGGGGCATAAGAGGCTGGGAAGGAAATGAGGAGACAAGGTTAAACAGGAGACAGCCGGGGTTAGTGCACTTTAGGAGGCCGGCCTCCAATTAATGACCAGCAAAATGTTGGGCTCAATTAATGTTGAGCGCTACAAAGAGTGCAACATACCGGTGTATACATATATATATATATGTGAACATGCTTACATGTGCATGAATGACTCAATGAATTTGTTTTGAGGCCTTACTACAATCAAAACGGGAGACATTGTGGAAAAAATAAAAATGTAAAATAGCAGAATCCTGAAGAAACCCACTTGTGTAGCAGACTTATTGTAAAAATCAAAAAAGTGGCATAATTGCTTTTCTCCGGTTTTCAGGGCCACGAAGGTGTTGCTTCACAACACCAAGCTCCCAGTGATCGAGCTACGCAGTTAGACGACTATATTTGTATATACAGCAGCGGCAGATTGCCTCAGACGTCTGACAGCACATCACGGCGCGTGTGTTGAAGCGTGCACTTGCTCAACCGAGAGGCAGAAGGGCCGTGACTTGCAATACACGTTCCTGCATTGAAACAAACAACTGAATATTATGGTCTTGTTACTTAGAAGTGCTTTCGCCATTCAGTCACTCCCCTGTTTACCTTTGCATTATAGATAACAGCAGGAGGTGGACTATAAAACACATCTGGATGCTTATTTCACTAAATCAACATGCAACACAACAACCATTTCAATCACAGTTGTTACATCCGCATTTGTTTGCTTCAACAGGGATTTGCATGCACGCTTGTAAATTCGGCCTGAGCCATTAGTGTTATAGTGTTATATCATATCACTTCATTAAATGCAGGGAAGTTCTTTTTACGCTGTTGTGCGGCCATTACTCTGTCAAACGCTAACGATAGGGAGATCGAGCAGCTATAAGGTGAATTTGATGTTGGATTTATGTGAGAATGTACAAAGTGTGCATGTTTGGCTGTGATTAAAGACCCCGGATGATGAAGGAAAACACATTTGAAAGAACACTTAAGAGGCAACTGCGAAACGAAACAGCCCGGCTGTTTCGTTGAGTGGTGCACATAACACCGACCACACCTCCTCTTATCTTCCTCCTCTGGTCTCTCCTCTTCGCCAGCACTCTTCCTCTCCTGCTTGTTCTTGTTTTTAATCAGCATTCTCCCATCCCTTTTTTTCCAGTTGATTACACTCCTCTCTCTCTCTCTCTCTCTCTCTCTCTCTCTCTCTCTCTCTCTCTCTCCTTTCTGTCATAACTACGTGTCTGTCCGTCTCTCACTCTACCTTCCCTCTTCCTCTTCTTCACCCTGTTCTGTTTAATTAATACTCGTGTGACCTATTTAGTTGCTCTGAATCATTAATGCAGAGTCGTCCGTGGCTGCATTTTACACTCTTGGTCCTCCTTGACGAGAGGGGGAAGTGGATGCTCACCCTGTTCAGATGCACTGTACGTCTAAAACATTGATGTACAGTATCGTCATTAGCACACATAAGAGGTAATTAATGAATTGAAGCAGCCCGGGGGGGCGTGTGGGGGGTGAATGTGTTCCATCTTCTCAGTTAAAAGCGAGGCAGCTGCGTTTTGAAACAACGAACGGAACATCGAGCGCTTCTCTACTAAGTGCAGAGTAAGCAAATTGTATTAGCCGCCGTGGGATGAAGGCCGGTCGGGTCGGGGGCAGACAGAAATAACTTAATTTTGGATGCATTTCTTAAGTGATGAAATGGAGACTGAGCTCCCTCCTCTACTCGAGATTTAAAATTTAAATTTGAGGCAATTGGTTCAGTCCCAGAGGATTAGTCCTAAATGATGAGAGCTCATTTTATTGATGACCCCTCGAGTTCTCCTCTTGCGTCAGCACCTGGGCCAAGCACACATGTCAATATGTACCAAGATGGAGCTTTACCACAATCCTTCTACCTGGAAGATGAATCGTTTCTGCTTGGCTCAGAAATGCGCTCGTGCAGAAACGTCACCTCTCCCAATGATCTCCAGATTTAGCAGGCGGATTATAATGCACAGTCCCAGGACAGGGCGAAACCTTCATGACCCCGTGACCTTTCCTCAGACACATCGGGAAGCAATTTAATCAAAGCACTGGCGAAGGAATTTGTCAATGTACTGTTTGGTCCAACGTGTGAGGTATCATGGGGTCTATGGGGCAGCCACGGCAACACACCCCCGTGAATATAGACCTCCAGGAAGAAAGAGGTTGAGGCAATGATGTGAACTGGCCCACATTCTTTTGGATGTCCGGCCACCCAATCCACTTAACTCCATTGTGTCCACGGAATTGAGGCTGACTATGCAGTTCTGCATCACCTCGCTTTCATACCAAATTGTTACGTCACAGTATTCGCCACGGATAGATTAGCGTGATTCCTGGTGAATAGAACTGACTGAAGTGTGTGAGGGTCGACAGTACATCAAATACATATTAAACAATGCAATAGGAAAAGGGGGGAGTGAAGCTAATCCTCTAGTACAAAACCAAAGAAAAACACTGTGACCATATGTTTTACAGTAGCACAACGGCTTCTTTCATGGATTTAAAAGTCTAGTGAGTGTTGGCAGGCTAGAAATGAATGAAATTGTTCCCGATAGCATCAGAAGAGATAGCAATACAATACTAAGGCTATTTAACTGGGACTCTGGCTTATCTCCCTGATTAAATCTGACTGCAGGCCTTTTTTTATAAGGCCTTTGAAATAATGTCTCCATTGATTTATTTTAATGGGCAAAGATGCATTTTGGAAGGTGATAAAACACTGACTTTGATATTGCTCTGGCCTAAAACATGATTAAGGATGAGAAAGGTTTTTGCTTTGCTTCCAACATCACATCTCTGTAATAAGACTAATTTTCTTCACTTCTTTGAGAATGACTTTTTAACATCTCAGTGTTTACATGCTGGAGAACAGCTCCATTTTTTGAAACCACGTATGGTTTGGTATACGTTGCTTTTTGGGGAATGTTTCTCAATTTAATGCATTATTAGACAAAGTTTTTATTTTGTTGCACATCCCACAGAAATAGAGCAGAACACATGAAGACACACATGCTGGCTTAAAACCAAAGAGACATCGCCTCTCATGCACACGGGTCAAGTAAAAAAAACAAAAATTACAGAACAACTGCCTGCTGTTCCTATGAGCGGAAAAGGCCACTCTACGCTTTAATATGTCTCAGATGAATCTTTGATTTCAGTTCAAAGCCACTTTAATGTTATTCCTTGGGTCTAATTAAAAAAGGTCTCGGAAACTTTTGCAGTACACAGCGAGCTGCAGCAGGCTGCGCTTCTGGAAAGGGACAGAACATCTGAAGGATGAGATGAATAAATAAGCCTTGCAAGACCAAGAGTACAACACTATTCACACCCCACAGGATCCTTTCAGTTTCTAAAAGTGCTGTTTGATTGGCAAGGATAGCCGAGAGAGATAAACAGTGGAGGTGGCTGTGTTCGTATGATGTGGTTCGCTGGTGCAGAAAATATAACTGTTACTTGGTAGAAATGCTGTAATGAAATGATAGTTTCATTGTCAGTGCAGAGCAACTGTGTGAAATAACGGCTGTAATGGCCCGCTCACCCTCCTCTGTATGAAAACAGAACCGGGGAATATCTTTGTCTGTTTGTGCTCGCATGTGCGACGTCGCTATTGCATTGGCCACGAAATGCTTCTTTGTACGATTCAGTGTTAAACAACTTAGTGACCCTGCTTTTAGCATGATTAATTAAACAGGTGCACAGCTGGTGTACTTGTAAAGTCAATGTTATATATTTAACTACAATGAGTTTCCTGTGAAGTGCTGGCGTTCAGAAGCGTTCATACTGTACATTGTGCATTCATTTAACAGTGACCCAGAACATCCGGTTTAACCCTTTTAAATAATGCCTGAAATGGTATCTCCAAGCCTGCGTGGCCTGGTATGCTGGTTGAAGGCCTGGATTACACGTGCATTATGGAGATGCTGGGGAAATAGCAACAAAACAAATGCAGGTTGACAGGCTTTGCCTTGCCAGGGTTTAAAGCCAATTCTTTTATAATATTGTTGAATGTGCGGTAGAGGCAATGGAGTGTTAAACAAAATCACAAAATTTTCCATTTTGAGTATTCACCATTTGACTCACTCTTTCTCTCTCTCTCTTCTTCCTGTTTTTCAATTACTGCATCTATGTTTATGAATATATTACATGAATGTTGGTCATTTTTATTATCTTATTTATTCTTGCAAAACTCGCAAACCAAAATACGGTTGAGCAATTTATGAAACCACCAAACCAGCAGTCACACGCAGGATGGGAAAACCCTTCGACTGTCCAGAACAAATGATTTACCTCTCGCCATCTTTAACATTTAACCACTTTAAGAATGTATTTGTTTTGTTTATTTTCCATTGTGTGTGAAGCTCCAATTAGTGTCAAACATGCTTTTGATGACAAACTAATGATGCGTCTTCATGCATGAAGCCCTGATGTGAATCCTGATGTGAACAAAATTGGTACTTACAAGAGGAATTTGCAAAGCCTTCTATATATATATTGATGGTGATCTTTATCAGGGGAACTCTTAAAGAGCCTGTAAACCAATATATTTAATGTTGCTGATGTGATATGAAGTGTGGTCTCAGACGTGGACTATTTCTGAACACCCACTCTATTTGACTATGCAGGTTTGGAACAAAAATTCTGTTATTAGATCTTTTCTGCGGGAGGTAATGATGAGGTTAATGATATTAGTTGAATATAATTTCTTGTCGAATTCAAACCGCTGAGGCTCCATCCTCACACAAAGTACCTGCGCTGATGTAGCAATCACCTCCTGAAACAGCTTTTTATTGCGTAATTAAAAAGGTAATCAAACCAGGTTCGGCATGAAATTGATTGAAAGTCCCCAAACAGTGTTTTTTATACTTGAAGCCTGTCACCAAATTAAAAGAGAAGGATGTGTGCTTGGGGATGGATGACAAGCTGTGTTGTGGGGCACACTCATCAGTAAACAGCCCATGTCCCTCTCCGTCTCCCTCTCACTCGCCTTCCATAAGTCCCTGAACAAGTAGTTTAAGTGGACACTGCACATAAAGAGACATGATTTGCAGTTGCAGGCACTTTGCTGTCCTACCAAAGGAATTACAGGTTCCCACTTAAGTTGTATTATGCATTTATGATTGTTGTGGCTCCCGACAAGAAAGAAACTATGGTTGTGTTGGCCTGAAGGTCACCTTTTTACCAGCAGCATAAGCACACTACTTCTTTTTTAACCATTATTAGTTGATGAAAAGGTTTCTTCTTGCCTAAAGGTTTATATATTTTAAACGATTATCTACCTGGCTTTTTTTGCTGTGAATTTTTTGTTTTTCCATGTTGACGGGCTTAATGTTGAGGAATCAGGAACTTCATTAGTGGTATGAGGAGGAATCCCTAATTGTGGGCTACAGTGTTGAAGCCTAAAAGGTCTCTAGGGGAGGTTCAGTGAGGGAGCTACGATACCAACCACACGTTTACCACTGAAGGACAGAGGGAGGCCGCGCAGCTGCCCCCAGGCTCACCTAGTCAAATCTGTAGACAAAAAGATCTAATTGGTTTGTCCCCTCCTGGTTTCCCTTCAACCATTTGGCCTTAACAAGAATCTTTCTCACCTATATTCCACTTCTCTTTCACACTGATCTTCCAGAGCCGGATTTCAATTATCTCTTTTGATGAAACCCTGTCTTCGGTTTGTTTGGACTACTTTTTTACATTCTAACAGTGTGCACCTGAGAGTTTGCCGCGACATGTAGGGCTGTGGGTGCAGTTGATTTATGTACCCTCGCACACCGCTCCATTAGCCAAATGCAATCCTGTGCCAACATTCGCACAGAACGTTGTCAGTCTGTTAGGGAAAGGAAAATATTTAAAACAACCGTGACTATTAGAGTTTAACCGTGTTGTCTGATCCCGGGTAAAAAAAAAAGTAATGCTTAAATAACTTCTTTTGCTCCTTATGCTCTATTTCCTTTTGTACAACAGCACCAGCTGTGAGCCTTCTAGCTCACATTGCACAGTTGAGTACAGCACTCTTAACTCTTTCTAGATGGAAACTAGATTCAGAGGCATTTGCAATCATCCAGTTTAGTTGACAAAGCTTCATCATGTTTACATGTGCAAGTAAATATCATTTTGCACAAGATGGGAGAAGATTTCGGAAAGGAAACCTTTTTGGCCTCACCATTCACCGTTGGAAGTATAGTTCTATCCATCCTGAGTGAGACAGAAACTAAGGAGGCAGTTTTTCTTCCCTCTTTTTTGCATTGATGCAGCCGTTTGCTTAATAAGTTATGATTAAAGACGACCCGCTATTTTAAATAAAACATTATTAAATGAAACTGTGGAGATCCTGTACTGCATAATGTTCTCAAATAGATGAAAAACTAGGCGAGGGAAAAGCAAACTCGAACCTTGTAACCGAGCAGGCTGTGGTGAAATAGCAGAGCACCATTGTTATCATTATTGTTATTGAAGTGCACCAGAGGAACCACCGCGCCCCTCATGAAGCGCTGCTCATCAGTTTTTGTCATTTGAACTTGGCTGCAGCTTTGAGAAGCTTTAGCAATAGCTGCACTTCATCCCTTCAGCACCACGGACAGCACACGTTACACAGAAGATGCTGCTGCTCCGGTGAGGAAAGACGCACTTATTGATCTCTGTCCATTAGTGCATTTGATGAAAGCTATCTGGTGCACAAGATGGCTGCTCAACTTTGAGTTGCCTTCCTCTTTAAGTCACATCGCTCTAGCGATGTGACTTTCTCCTTGGGACATAATTGTGTGCGACGAAAACAGCTTTACTTTATTAGCTGAAATGATGCAGTATTTATTTAGCGAAAGAGAAAACTTAGCTGAGGGTGGTTTTAGGGAGGAAATAATGCATCTGCCTCCATCAAGGGAGACAGTGGATTGAACAATTATGCAAAGCATTGTGTCTGTGCATTACAGAAGAGGATAAATAGTTTGGACCCAGTCACATGTAGCTTTTATGCCAGTATATGGGTACAAAACTTAAGAAAGTCCAGAGGTGCATGGCTTGGAAAAGAAACAAAAAGATAAATGACGTGAAGAAAATAATGAATTAATCAAGGGAGGAATTACTCACAACTCTCTATCTCGAGTGTGCAGTTCTGTTCGTCCAGTGGATACCTTCTCAGGTCCATCATACAAGCAGCGGTGGTAGTGATTCTGAAAACACATAATACAACATATTACTTTAGGTAGGTTTCGTTGGACAGCAGACTGGCTGTTGGTCAGTAGGAGATTTAGAGGTCAGATTCCAGTCCGGTATCATGAATCAAGGCTTGAAAATCTGCATGGAAAACAGTGCAGTTCATCGTATAAAAAAATACCTTTTACATTAAATAAACCATGTGCAAAAAAGGACATAAATCTTTCAAAACCTCTAAACATAAACACAGGAACCTTTGAGGGGTTGTGATGCAGCAGTGGTCACAACTCAATTGGGGATTATGGGGCCAAAAAGTAATCCTTCCGTCCCGGTTTAAGCATTGTTTGGATTATCCTGTGGAGCCTCTGTCAGGCGCCAGCGACAGTGTGAGTCACAGAGTGTGTTCAATGACTAGTGCGCGTGGGATAAATTGGGTTTTATGAACTAAATACTGATACCACTATATAACAACAAGAATAATACAAACCAAGATTGTTCCAAGTTACCAGTCCAACTATGTGGGAATTGCATTATTTGTGTAGGCCTTGTGTGAGTGTAAAGAAAGTTGTCCGTCCTCTGTTCATTTGACTGACAGTGGTTGATTTTGTTCAGTGTGGAAATCTCCATAAATAAACAAAGATCAAATGAATTGTGGAAGGTTATTTTGTGGTTGTCTGCCCAGAGGAAGAGTAAATGTTCATTTCGATATAAAATAAATCTTAAACTCGGCTGTGTGAACTCTATTTCAAAACTGTCAGTGATACATATCTTCTTTAGCTTTGAAGACGTTCAGTGATGAATTATTCTTTTGTTCTCTCCATAGGGTGTTCATTTCTCATCGTTTAAAGGAAAACAACTCCGAAATTGACCTCCATCTCTGAGTTTCTGCCTATTTGAGCAGCAGCTAAATGAGCAAACTCATCCAAAAGTAAAACACATTGATGTTGGTTGAATTGTTTGACACTAAGCTGCTTCAAACACAACTGTAAACGTTTTTGACAAGGGAACAAAGGTCAATACCACAATGGTTGTCTACTTGAAATCCTGGTCTAACGATCCATTTAAAGCACATACGCAATACATGAACTACAAATGAAGCCAATCTGCTTTTAAATCTAATCCTCCAAGAATTATTTTCCGCATTGTATGGGATTCTATAACAGCTGCCAACAGCAGAAGCCAATGAATAGCCTTCTGCTTTACTGCCCCTGCCACGTACTGTGTTGTGTACGCTGCATATATGTCACCATAATATCGCGTAGCCTCTCAATCTCTATCAAAATAGACAGGGATTGATACTAAGGGATAATAAGAGCAGCCAACCACGAGTCAGTAGATGAGGACGTGTTCTCCATCAGACTGCGTGACAGGGACACCAGGACTATGCTGTGAATAATAGGCTGCCTTTTCTTGCGATAGAACTTGACTCCCACTGGGGGAGCCGCCACAGAGCAGCACAGCATGGTGGGTAATCGTCTCGGCACACCTGACAACATAGATACATTTGTGCCAGAGGAGAGGCTCATCTTGAGTCCGATCCTCCGTGTTACTAAGCAGAGATAATCACCCCTTGTGTGTCTGTGTGCCTCCGTTTCTGGCTCTGTTTTGCCTTCTGCCCTCCGTGTTCTATTTTTGTCACCATTCCAGTAATGCAAAGACCATCAGCCACTGCAATGGCATCTTTTTGCATAACATAAGTTCATCCAAGGAACACACCATTGCATACTGGACAAATTCTGTAAGCAAACTTTTAAAGTGATGATGCAGCAATACTTCAATGGTGTAAATTGTGTGTGTCTGTAGGCAACATATGGCCAACAAATTGTACGTCATCGACCCATTTGTTTGTGCTCTGTCTCTCTCCTTAACAAATGGCCAGAAAGTCAGTGTTCCCATGAAGATAAGAGATTTAAAAAAAAATTCACCCATTTTATAAGATCTTTCTCTGCTTTGGGAGACCCAACGTTGGATAATTACAGTTAAATTGAATGTTAAACATTAGTAGTTTTAATCTGTTCATTCTGATGGGCAAGAAGAACCAGTCTAAAGGTAACACAATGTGTGTGGGAAGGTAGATGCTGTGAATACGGTTTGGGATGGCAAGAAAATCGTTACAGTCAGATGCATCCAAGCAGCAAGTAATGACAGTAAAAACCCTGACATCACTTAATCATTCTCTTTATAACTTATTCATATTTCATAGTATTTCCCCTTTTGCATTTGCCAGGTGGTTGGACAACGTGTTCCACATCACTGCTTTCGCTGGTGTTTCTTTAATACGTCTTGAGTAAATACCGTTTATAGTCGGTGACCATTGACGCCTCTAAAGAGGCAAACCACTTTCTACTGGTGATTCAAATACTGAGAATAAACTAGTTTAGTCAAATAATACATCTTGTTTGTGACTATACTGGTATAACTTTAACAACTTAATTTCCTTCTCCCACCAAACGTTCAGTTATTTTTCTGCTGTTTGGATATAATTAATGACCGGCAGCCACTTTTGAATTTTGTGAGATGAATACTGTTTCCTTGAACATCACCATGAAAGGAGTTCAGCTATGCAGAAGATACCAAAGAACTTTAACGACGGAGATTTCTAGCATCAACATGCTGTTTAATATTAAACACCTCGGGGGTTTCCACCCCCTCAGAATGAGACACGGAGGCGGTTCGAAGCCTTTTCTTGTACCCTGTCTGTGTCGGCGTTTACTTCTCTCCGATGGATTGTCTCCTGGTGAAGGTGCACTCTGGCCTCGCGTGTTCAACCAAGGAGTAAATTGACGGTTACTTTCCGTCAACTCCCTGATCTCTGTGTAAAGATGGAGTCAGCGGTGTAGAACTCAGAGCAAGAGCCTCTGGCAGGGAAAGGTTGAGTTTTTTTTGCACGTTTGCCGGGGATTGCCGTGTGCATATGTGCCCCTCAGCGTGTTTGTTATTTTGCTCTAACCCTTCTGGATGTGTTCATGTGTGCGTGAGTGCCTGATTGTGTTTGCAGCTGTCTCGCTCTCTCCGTTCACTCTCGCGTACTTTTCCGCTTGTCCCGTCCTCTAAATGATGCACAGCCGCGTGTCTCACTCCGCCTTAGTGCTCGGCTGTTTGGCTGCAGCATGAGGAGACTGACAACCGCACCGACTGAGTCCCGTTTTGTTGCATCACCTGCAGCGACCCGCCATATTCATCAGATTTTGCACAAAGACTGCGATCACGGATGGATCAAACGTAGGAGGTCAAATCGGGGACAATAACAATATAAAAGCATTCAGAGAGGCCTCACCCCGCACTGCAAACTGCTGCTGACGATGGAAGGACGATGCCCACAGAACCAAATCACTCGGATGCCTTAACATTAACATTGACATCATTTGTATTAGGTTTACATGTTTTTACTCTGCATGTGCCGGGTGGATTTTTTGTGCCTTCTCTGACATGTTTAAGATCCTGTGACTCAATTTAGGATTTAAAAAGAAATCTGGTTACCCTTCTTAAATGATATTGACTGTCAAGAATGATGGACTTCTTTTCCCTTTTTCAATCTAATCCCACTTCATCCTAATGAATATGTGCACTGACTTGTCATACTGCCTGTAGTGCGTGGGAATTGTGCGGAACCATATCCCAAGTGGTTATGGATTCCTCATTTGAATATTTTATCCAACGGTTGATTTGATAGTGTGTAGGTTATTCGATTTAAGTACATTGCCCCGATACAGGGATGATTCGCATGGTTTCAGTTCTATTCAGGCATAATCTGACCCTCACGCTCTGCTGGCGCGTCTCCGGCTTTCTTCATTGTCTCTTTGTCTACTCTTGATGTTGCAGGCAATGAGCATAATCTCAGAGAGAAGCGCTGCAAAGAAAAAGGAAATCAAGAACCTCAATCTCATGAAATGAACAGCACATGTTCCTTGGTATTAAATGCAATTATCTTCAAAGGGGACCGGCAGTATTTCACCGTGTTCAGGATGTCACCAACGTCAGTTAACCAATTTTTTTTTAATTTGACGGCAGGATTTGGTTTTCACCGTGGGGTTTATGATTTAATATAAAAGCAATAAAATGTGTCAGAGACTAAAAATAATTCTAAAACACCGTGTTCTAGTTCACCTAGTATTATTGGAAACTGCAGTCAAGTGGATGTCCCCAAAATCCCACGGAGTAAAACATGTCGGGTCCTAAATACTAATGCCTCTGTTTGGTAGGAAGGTTTCGTCATTTAACTCGAGGCCATAGGTTTGATTGATATCGATGTTGATATTGACCCGATTGTTGTTGTGCAGAGGTCAGCAGTGTAGAGCTAAATGTGTATTTTACAGGCAAAGTGGCTGGTCGTATGAATGTTTGCTGCACTTATTTTCCGTCCCTCGTGCTTGTGTCTTTCGTCATCTGATGTTTCTCTTAGTCGCATTCAAGTGTGTAGAATGTGTAGAATCAGTAGGATATGTTGCTTTGGTCGGCATGGAAGTAGTCATGGTAACATGATGGAACTGTATTCAGAGGACTTCAGATTAGGTTCAGAGCAAATCATAACATGCTGGACACCGTGGATGGGTATCGGCTGAGTAATGAAGACAGATAACAATGATGACCACGGGAAAAAATGTCTAATTATCTTCTTAACCGCCGTCTCTCTCCTTCTTTTTTTCATTGTCTCTCTGTATATATTCAACTGCACTCTCCCGCAGCAGCACTAATGTGCTGACAGGGTGGCCATTAAGATGTTATGGTTTTCAATAACTTTTTATAGTTTGGGCATCAGAGGACAATTTGTAAAATGAGCTGTTGAGACATCGGGGTCAATCAGTTAATATTGTACTGTGGATTTTATTTCTGGCAAACTGAAACACTGATTCAACGTGTCATCAACACATGAAACATGTAAAAGTCTTAAATAGCAATATTCCGAATATTTTCTCTGCTCCCCCAAGAGAGGATTGTGTACAATCAAAAGATAAAACCGGATGTTTTGTACAAGTCGTATTGAACAAACAAACACACCCTCACTGGCTGAGTGTGTTTCCCCCGAGTTTGAGAAGGTTATAAAATAAATTACAACCACACGGTAGGAGACATAACTAAGATCACCAAGCTTTCATTCAGAGTGCGGTCAAAAATAATGTCAGCGGTCAATTCGGTGTTAATAGCTTTTCATGATTGAAAGGAGGAAGAGACGTCTCTATGGGAAGAGCCAAAAGGTTCCTCTTCTCTCTGAGTGTCTGCAGGGGCTCGTCAGTGAAACGGGTTGAGTGATCACAGGGGAGAAAATAAACAAACTTTTGATCAGTAATATTACAGAGTTTAGATGGAGTCAACGTCTAAGGAATATGACATTTGCAGCTTTTAAGCAATTTTTTATTATCTTGCATACGGTAAATATATTTTAGCAGGGCACTTCTTCCTGCTGGGTGTTGGTTCGCTCGTAGTTTTAGCGAGCCGTGCCGCAACACAAGACTAAGTGTGGGACCGCTAATGGACCCCGCAGGGCAGGCTGCTGGATGGTTCCTCATCCGCACGCAAGAATTTGATTGATTGTGTAATATAAATTGTCAGTCTTGGAATCCGGAGAACTCGAGCATTCCCACCGGTTGATGCACAGACAGAGAAAATAATCATGAAGCCGTGAAGTACAGACTGAAAAAAAATATAGTAAAGCATATGATCTATAGTCAAACTTCACACATACTTTTTGTGGCTATGTAAATTATGCACAAACCTACTAAGAGTCCTCAGTTTAGTGACTATGTGCACGTGTCCACTAAACCAGCGGAAGGGAGATTTATGTGTTCATTTGTGACTTTAAACCTTACACCTTCCTGGTCTTGTTGTAGAGTCCAAAATGTTATTCTTTGAGATTAAATCTCACCTGAGGCCGTACAGTACGGTACCGTCCGGGTGCAGTCGGATCATTCGATTTTTCACCGTGACGCCGTGGACGAAGGATTTCTTGTCGTTGAGGAAGTAGGTGTCGGGGACCCACAGCTGGTCAGCCACCCGGTTATCTAAGGTCAGGTTGAGGGGGATCTCCGAGTAGGACAGTCGCTTGTCTCGCCAGGCCTGCTGAAAGTACATCGTCAGCGTGTAGTCCTGAGAGTGGACAGAGAGGGAGCAAAAGGATGACGGAGGGGGGGAGTGGAAGAGGTAGAAAATCGAGAAAAAGGAGACAGAAATGAGGAACGGCCCGGGAGAGGGAGGAGGAGAAATGTAGGGAAAAGAGCGAGAGAAGACACGGTTAATCCAAGAAGTGACCCTTTTACACAGCTGCTCTGTACTACAAACACTCTGATTAGACCAGACTAGGCTTTAATATTGGATGAAGTTCACTTAAAAGCAAATGGAACAGTTGGAGTACAGGCCCAAGAAAAAAAAAACTGTAGCGAAAAAAAGCAATGGGGAATTCCTTCTTTTCACAGAAAGACGAGGTTTGACAGACAGTATAAAAGTGTCAGAGAGGGGGAGGGAGACTGATGGTTTGGCTTTGCGTGTGTGAGAGAGTGTATATGATGAAAGCATGTTTGTGAGGGGGGCGACAGGTCGAAAGAACACCCTTTGTTCAGGAGTGAGCTGTTGTCTCCCTCCCCCCCTCCAACCTCACCCCCCTTTATTCACAGGAGTCATGAGTGAAGTTAGTGAAGTCACCGTGAATCACACTTGATGTGTAAGCTTTGGTCTGTTAGGATATAATGACCAAATGAGAACACACGCTCCAGACAAATGAAAACAACCTGCATTTTGTTTTGCTTGGACAGATGCTATCCTGCTAAATTAGCTCACTGTGTTGTACTTGCATAACATATTCACCTATTTACTTCTGCTTGTCCTCCCCCAATCACAATGGTAGACTGTCGTCTTGTGTCAGCAGAGACAGCAAATGAGAGTCAGACATCAAAGTGTGTTGGGAATAACATGCATGTGTGCCGTCATCATGTGCACGGGTAAGAGCAAAAGGACACTACTATATGATGCAAATTTGTATGGATGTTTGTTACGAACCAGTTGAAGGTTAGTAACAATTAGTTTTACTATCGAGCAATGTTTCGTGTTTCTTTGTAGTATTTGTAAGCCTCAAGGTTTGAAGGAACGTGCACAATCCTAAATACATACATGCATGTGCATGCCTGTAAGGCAATATACTGTATATTCCTGTTACGGTTTTGTATAGTTTGCAGATTAGCAGTTGTTGGCAGTGAGTCAGCAACACATTCATAATGGTGGCAGCAAAGGATACGAACAGGGAAGATGCTAAATAGCAATTATTCATGTTAACAATGCCGTTTTCAAAATAGTTATGAAAAATGAGTGGATATCTATCAGAACGTTAATCCATTATTTAGACCTCTAGAATGCATCACAACCACAAATGGTTTTATAAATAGGTTTGCACATTAAGTACAACCCTGCAGACGGAGCACTATGGTGAGAAACACAGAACTGTTGACAAACAGCCTTCCCTATACAATATGCAGGCCAGTAGAGTTATTGAAATTCAAAGCATTCATAGGGCTGATTGTTCCAAAATCCAAGCTATTGGGATGATACAAGCACGCGCTTTCTCTCATTAGGAAGAAACACTCAAAACCTGAACAGAATACACACGGTTAATAATTCAGAAACAAATAGAGGAATTTCCATAACTTGCAGTTCAAGTCCATGACTCTGAATCTAGGACGCAGTAAAACAGTCAAGCCAGCAGTCAGACGCTCATGTATTTCACTGAAGTACGAAGCCTAGCAATCATCCATGAAAAACTAAGTTAAAATAAACATGCTGTCTCAGGGAACTTTTTGTCGTGACTGGCACATCCGCTTCCTGGCAAAGAGGCTGAACATGCATTTTTCAATATGCCCATCGGCTACAGATCTGACGTCCGACAGCACCTCGGGACCTGGAGGCTCGGATATTGACTGCATGGAGTCAGGAAAACAGGGGCAGCTTTTCTCCGCCAAGCCCTTGTATGACAAATAGCTTTTGTTATGTTGTTGTTTTTACCTTATTTGGCATCGTGTGCTGACAACCACAAGTTTGAAATTTGACACAAACAGCCTACTGGCAATTCCTTATTCAGTTCATCCAGGCTGAAAAACGCATAATTGGTTTGTGTCGTTCTGTTTAACTGGAGAGGTCTAATATCTGGGTTGCTTCACACTTTCCATCGACGGTCTTTGGCTGCACGTGCTTCCCTCGCAACACTTCCATCCCTGCTCGGTGGTTATGTAACACCTCACACTCTCCCTGGCATGCTGTGCGTCGCTGCTCATGTGGCAGAGGAGATGCTTGTTGCCATGTAGTTCTCCTTAACTACCGTCGCTGCACTCATCAATACACAGCGTCGAGCGAGCGAGCCGGGATTACTGTGATGGATGAAACATCAGAGAGGCTTCTCCGTGTCTCTTTCTTGTGGGACACACACACACACGCACACACACAAATAGAGTGGCTCTTCCTGTTGTGTAAGTCGCATTAGTCTGTTCAGTTTAGTTAGTTTGCAGTGTTATCAGTTGTATCGACCAATTGTTTTCTTGAACAAACAATGAATTGCTCAGTCTTTAAAAAGTCAGGTAACAAATGTTGAGATTGGTGACTGACGTGTGATTGTTTGCTGTTCTTCAGAGATAACAATATGCAAAGAATGCAGCTTGGGATTGTTGCCTGGCTCAGTGTAATATGTAATATTGCAACATGTTAACAGCAGGAATGAGATAGAATGAAGCATTATCGTGCATGTTACAGCCCCTACATGTATAATGTGCATGATTTGAGAGCTCCTCACTACAGCGGCCACATTTTGAATCTGAAATGATCATAAGTAGTCGTGAGATGTTTGATAAAAAGCTGACTTGATGGAGTAAGAAGGAAGGCAACAATGCAACCTGGGGCGTGGTACTAAAACGGCGCATGTTTCCATTGTCATCCTTCAGGGCCTATTATTGCAGGCCTACATACGGGAGGAAGTTGTGGTTGTTATAGAGGACCAACTTGTGGAGGTGCCACGGTGGCTAGTTTACAGTAAATATGAAGCTGTTATTGAAGACAGCTATATAGTTTGCTCCTCTCTTTCTCCTTCTGGGGCGGGAGGGGGTTGTAAATCACCGGAATAACTGCAGTGGCTGTGCGCATGTGAGTGCAAGAGAGGCTGTCATAACAACAGTAATAATGAGCATCAGTATATTAACTCTGTTCCATAGAGAAGGGAAGAATATGAGAGATAAAGGGAAAGAGACAGAGAGTGATGCTGGCTTTATGAGTGCAGGATATGCTGTGCTGCCACGTTCCAAAGGACATTACAAAGTGGGCATTATGTACTCCACTCTAAGCCATCACAGTCCATCATAATTAATAACTATTATTAAGGTCCACAGCATACCACATACTGTATGCCGTTTCCCCATTTTACTTTTCTTAAAGACATTTCTTACAGATCACACAAGCTATTGTTTTAGTCAAACAGTCGGTTTTGTTCATATTTACTCCTGTTACTGTCTATTGAATCGCAAAACACAATTTATGAGATCAAAAAGGACATTTGTTGACGATATCAAAAGTTTCTACAGTACAGAACACAAAATGTAAAACATCTGCATTATGCAAGATTGACGCAGCTGCACACGGCTACATCATCATCATCATCATCATCATCATCATCATCAAAAGCCTGCCAGCGTGCAATCGTCTGCTTGGGGAGAATCTGGCGATGTTACATCATCAGACTCCCCTCACCTGGCCCATTGACGGCGTGCGCCGCTCACCCGAGTGAGGCGGCGTCATCGCCTCTCTGCAGGAGCTCGTGGCCATCAGAGCGAGTGGGAGGCAATTGGAACAGCTTACACGGAGTGGTCAACACACACCGAAAGTCTGACCTTTGACCTCGCTAGTCATCTCACCCAAAGCCACAAACGGGCAAAAAAGACTTGTCTAGTCATAATGACCCGTTTGGGCCAAATGTAAGCCTGCACGCACTCAAAATAACACATAAAGGACAAATAAATGCTTAGTGAAAGCTGCTTATGGCATTGTCGCGCAATTCAAGTCCGAATATTTCAAAAAGTCTGAAATTAATATCCAAAGTATAGCCCATTTAAAACCTAATATGTGTAACAATCCCCATGAGATAATGTTTGCCGTAACCTGATTCCTAATTAGTCTATAAATCAGCTTGAAGAAATAACAGGCCTGAGCTGCTGAGTGAATTAAAACTTATTTAGCAATGAGAGCAAGTGAGAGGTAAAGGTATGGTGAGATATCTGACATTTAAAGTGCTCTGCAGTGTGAATGGGTGCATCGCTTTGGCACAGATGACATCATGTTCCACTACAGAGTTCTATATTTCTGAATTGGACACACAATGTGTGACATGGACAATGTTTCATGCCATGGATACTGCAGTATGACTTGACTGACAGGTAGATCCATGAGGGCTATGATTGCTGGTAAATAACCATCTCACATTGAACAAATGAATAACACGTCACATGCTGTGTCTGTTTCGGGCCTCTACAACTTGCATTCTTTTTTGAGTATTAAAGAAATACAAAGAATTCAACTTTGCAATTGTTAATATTGTTATAAATAGATCAGCTGGGATCGGTTTAGACTAGAGGAGAACAACAAACAATTGACCAATTGAAAATGAAAAGAAAAAAAGATGTTCCCGTTGCCCACTATGACCTGGTAAACCCGCTCATCCTCCAAGCTGCCGTGTCCACTAACCCCTCACATCTCATCCCAGCCCCCGCAACACATGGACTCTGGGGCAGAAGGCAGTTTTATGACTATTTAGTTGGACAGTTTGAGACCCCTTTTAAATCCACAGTGTGTGCTGGTCAAATGTTCCAACTTTGCTTCGTTATTTATCCCCTGCAATGTACAATCTTTATTTTATCTCACACTTAGAAGGAAGTCACAACACATGAAACGAATTAAATTGTTGTAACTGTACTTTTCCGATCAGATTAAGTTCAGGCAACAAATGGCTTGATTAGAGTGACTGTTGAATCTTTGTACAATAACAATGGATCACATCACTATCTATGACGTAAAAAGCGTTGCTCATAGCGATAAATCCACTTTAACTATTGATTATAACTCTG